AGGTTGCTGTGAGCTGTGATGCCATGGCACTCTACCCAGGGGGATAGCTTGAGGCTTCATCTAAAAAAAAAAAAATAGAAAAACTGAGGCAAGAGGATTGCTTGAGTCCAAGAGTTTGAGGTTGCTATGAGTTATGACACCACAGCACTCTATCCAGGGAGACAGAGTGAGAATCTGTCTCAAAGAAGAAAAAAAAGCAATAATAATAACAAATATCTTACACTTAAGCAGTGATTTACAGTGTTCACTGAATCTTATTCCACTCCCACAGCAGCCTGGAAGGAAACAGTCACTGCACCTTACCTAAGGACACACAGGTATTGAGCCCAACCTCAACCACAAGTCTAAGTGGATTTTTCACTGTACCAGAGTTGTCTCAAATACATGCCATAACCCAAGCACAAAACTCCTCACCTTTTACTCACTCGGGAGCTCTGCAGACTAATCATAACTGTGGTTACTTTTCATGTGTCTCACAAGGGTATGCACATGAATTTGTACATGAGTGTACAAGGCTTTGAGCATGTATGTCTCTATTCTCAAATTAGAAGCAGAAAATTTATTTTTTTCTCACTCTGTCACCCTGGGTAGTGTTGTGGCATCATCGTTCATAGCAACCTCAAACTCTTGGGCTCAAGTAATCCCCTTGCCTCAGCCTCCCAAGTAGCTGGGACTGCAGGTGCCTGCTACAACTTCTGGCTAGTTTTTCTATTTTTAGTAGAGATTGGGGTCTTGCTCTTGCTCAGGCTGGCTTGAACTCCTGAGCTCAGGCGATCCATCCACCTTAGCCTCACAGAGTGCTAGAATTACAGGCATGAGCCACCACATCCAGCTGTGAAGCAGAATTTTTTTTTTTTTTTTTGTCAAGACAGAGCCTCAACCTATACCCTGAGCAGAGTAAATGGTGTTAGAGCTCACTGCAACCTCAGACTTGGGCCATGGGCATCCTGGCTGCCTCAGCCTCTGAAGCTGCTAGGATTACAGACACTGGCCACACCATACCCAGCGGGGTTTTTCCATTTTTTTCATGAGTCAGAGTCTCAAAATCTCACTCAGACAAGCTTCAAACTCCTGAGCTCAAGCAATCCTCCTGCCTCAGCCTCCCACAGTGCTGGGATTATAGGTGTGAACCACTGCGCCCAGCAAGCAGAAAATTTTAAAGGGGTGACTGGTAGAGGTAGGCCCAATGCCAGAATCAAGGAACAACAGCTGCCACAGATGACACAGAATCCATAAAAGAATAAAACCTAAAGAACTAAAGTCAGACAAGTAGTCTGAGGCCAGAAGAAGCAAACATCCTTCCCCACCTCAGTGGCCTTCCGTCATGAAGGAATGGAGATGTGTAATGGTGACCCTAAGTCACCAAAAGAAATGCCATGCTGGGCACAGTGGCTCATTCCTATAATCCCAGCACTTGGGAGGCTAAGGTGAGTGGATCACCTGAGCTTGCGCGTTCAAGAGCAATCTGAGCAAGAGTGAGACCCCCGTCTCCAAAAACAGCCTGGCATTGTGGGCACCTATAGTCTCAGCTACTTGGAAGGCTGAGGTAAGAAAATCGCTTAAGCCCAAGAGTTTGAGGTTGCTATGAGCTGTGATGCCATAGCACTCAACTGAGGGGGACAAAGTGAGACTCTGTCACCAAAAAAAAAAAAAAGAAAGAAAGAAAGAAAGAAAAAGAAATGCCAAACTGGGGTGGTGCCTGTGGCTCAAGGAGTAGGGTGCCAGCCCCATATACTGGAGGTGGCAGGTTCAAACCTGGCCTCTGCCATCAAAAAAAAAAAGAAATGCCAAACTGTACAAGCAAGAAAACACATTACTGGTTTTAAAAAGATTTCAGCAAAGATGTTAAATTAATAGAATCTGGTACTTAAAGGAATGCAGCCATCCTGGAAATATTACTTAGATCAGTGATTCTTAACCTGTGGGTCACGAACCACAGGAACTGTATTAAAGGGTTGCAGCATTAGGAAGGTTGAAAACTGCTGACTTAGATGGAATGATCTTGCTCTACACAAGATATGTAACTATACATCCACATTTTAGGGGGCCCCAAGACCAAGAAATCCTAAAATTAGTTTTACCAGTAAAGTACCTATCAGATCACCTGCAAGTGATACAAAAGAAAATATCGGTTAGGCGGCTATGGCTCAAGTGGCTAAGGTGTCTGCCACATACACCTAAGGTGGCAGGTTCGAATCCAGCCTGGGCCTACCAAACAACAATGACAGCTGCAACCAAAAAATAGCCAGGCATTGTGGCAGGCGTCTATGATCCCAGCTACTTGGGAGGCTGAGGCAGGAGACTCACTTGAGCCCAGGAGTTGGAGGTTGCTGTGAGCTGTGATGCTACAGCACTCTATCCAGGGGGACAGCTTGAGGCTCTGTCTCAAAAAGAAAAGAAAAAGAAAATACAGATCTCATTGACTGCCTCAGGAGAAACTCCCTTCTTGTTAACACAAGGCACTGCCTTTCACCATCCCTAACTGTTGCCATACAGGACAAACATCCCCTATGCAGAGTCTGAGCCACAAACACGGACACACAAAACACAGGAGAACCCCACAGTTCTCTGAACAGAGTAAAATCAGCTGAGTAAATGGGACAGCAGAGAAACTGAAGGAGAAAAGGACACCATCTGGCTGGAGCGGGGTGACCCAGTGAGCAATTGTAACTGCTGCAAAATCCCTGTGCCCCAAGCTGCCTCTTAAACTGACAAGACCAGGGGTCCTCAAATGTTTTAAACAGAGAGCCAGTTCACTGTCCCTCAGACCGTTGGAGGGCCAGACTGTGGGCTCTAGGACAAGTTGGCTGCTAAGCCCGACAGGCACAGTGGCAAAAACACTCCTAGGTGGGCCGCATGTGGCCCATGGGCCACAGTTTGAGGACACCTAGACAAGACTGTTTGAGATTCTTCAAGGTTGTGGGGTGGAAGGCATCTCCAAGGCCCAGGGTCTCCCAGGTTGGAAGGGCATTTTTCAACAACAGAGGTAACTGAGGAATGGCGCTATGGAGGTTCATCCTCTGAGCACCTACAATGTGGCTTTGCTGAATGTACAGATTTAAACAACATTTTGTTTATGAGATGGATTAAAAAGTCAAGGTGGATTAAAATGACAGTTTTAAGGATCTAGCCCACAGAAATACTCATGCACGTGCAAAAAGATATTCACTACAGAGCATTATCTGTAAGACTGAAAAATTGGAATCAAATGTACATGGCCACTAACAGAAGATTGGTTAAATAAACTACAATACATCCTTAAAATCAACATGGCCTCACATGAAGCATTAAAAAATAAAGCAGATGTGTATATAGAATAGAATGTCACTGAAATGCAAGGAGGAAACGCACACTGTAGAATTATACATAAAATAGTATGATCTCATTTTTGTAAAAGAACGAAACTACACCTCTTGAAGGAAAAAAGGAAAAAAATATCAGGAAAAACATGCAAACTGCTAATGTCATGGTGGAAGTCGGAGGAAGGTGAGTTGCTGTCTTCTTTTTTGTTACACTATGGGACTGTTTGAATATTCATACAAAGCATACATTAATTTAAACAAACTGTGTGTTCATAGTGTATATATATATGTGTGTTGTCAGGGGCATTCCTTTCCATCCCCTGCTTCCTCCCGGTTGGACTCCATCCCAGCCCTGCCAGCCCTCCAACCCACCGTGTCCTGCCCCACCCCATCCCCACTTACAGATGCAGGCAGCTGCCAGAAGGCGACTGGCAGCATAGGGTGCGAAGCAGCTCGGGAAGAAGGGTTGCACCAGGTAGTTGGCAAAGGTGATGGCAATGATGGCCTGACTGGTGGGCTCGATGATGAGCAGGGAGGTCCAGAGTCTGATGAAAGCAAGGAATTCCCCGAAGGCCTCCAGGATATAGGCATAGCTGGCCCCAGATTTCTTGATGGTGGTGCCCAGTTCCGCATAACAGAGGGCCCCAAAGACAGAGAAGAGGCCCCCAACAGCCCAGATGACCAGGGAAAGGCCAAAAGAGGCACTGTACATGAGTACACCTTTGGGGGAGACAAAGATGCCCGAGCCAATCATGTTTCCCACGATCAGGCACACACCATTAACCAGCGAGATCTCCGACTTCAGCTTCACCTGCTCGGACCCTGGGCTGGCCTCTTCAGCCAAAGGGGTGGCATCCGCCTCATGCTGAGAGGCCACTTCATACTTAATGCTGTCAACCATGGTGGGAAAGCAGAGGAAAACCTTCACCAGTTTCCTGGCATCGCCCTTTAAGGAAGAAAGATGATGATATATTTTGGATGGTTGTCAACTATATATAACCTACTACAGGGACCGAAATGGACAGTCCACCTACCACTTCAGAGACCTCTCTCTTGCTTTCCACCTCCAAATAACCTCTTCCTCAGCTGGTTCATCAAAATGATCCCAACTTAGGCCCACACAGTGGCTCATGCCTATAAGCCTAGCACTCTTGGGAGGCCGAGGAGGGTGGATTGCTTGAGCTCAGAAGTTCCAGACCAGCCTAAGCCAGCTCCATCTCTAAAAATAGCTGGGCATTGTGGCAGGCACCTGTAGTCCCAGCTACTTGGAAGGCTGAGGCAAGAGCATCACTTGAATCCAAGAGTCTGAGGTTGCTGTGAGCTATGATGCCACAGCACTTTACTGAGGGCAA